ACTTCTCCTGCCAAGCAGGACAATGCTGGAAAAACCTGACCAAGCCCAGCAGACTTTTGGGATGTGTGATTCCTCCCTCCTGCCACGGCCAGCAGCTGTCACAGGAACAATTGTGAGTGGTTTCACACAACTCGGCGTTGGCAGCACGGAGCTGCTACTCACTGCTTGTCACATCCCCCAGCTGACTCGCCTGCTTAACTCCTCCACTGTTTTCTCTGGCAACTGGAGCTCAGCTAATGGAAGGGAAGAAAGCTGGGGAGGGAAGAAGCCAAGAACCTGGGGTGTTTCCCTTTTTATTTATTTATTTTTTTAAATAAATGCTATAGCTGCCCTTTCCCCTGGTTAATGGATTCTCCATTCATTATTCAGAGATAACTCCTAATGGCTGGAGATTAGAGGTGGCTGAGGCAAACAGGAAATGAGTTCTGGCTCTCTGGGTGCCCACGAGGGCTGGCTCCACCCTGGGCAAACGGCAGCAGGCACTGGGAGCACGCAGGGCATGTTTGTTCAAACCTCTGGGATGTGGCAGCAGGCTCCAAAGCTTTGGCTGTAGGCACGAACTGCTTCACTCTCCCAGCTCCCATGAATGTGGGAAAGGATTGCTGAAACAGCCAAGGAGAATGGAACAGGGCAGGAAAGGGAGGGAGATTGGATGTTCAGCTTGGTGAAGACAAAGGAGGCTGTCCTGTGGGACTGGGGAAAGGAGATGCTCAAGGAAAGTGAAAAATCCATCTGAATTATTCTCATGCCACATTAAAATATGCATAAGCTGTATCATATTAGAGGTTTAACCTGGAGAGAAAGGAATTTCTGGGACAGCTTTCCAGCTGACCTGGCAGAGACTAAAGAAACCTTAAAATGTATTATGATTTATTGATGAAAGATTTACATGGCTGCAGCAAGAAGAGATTAGATCTGATGATTTGTGAGCATCCTGCCAGTCCACGTGGCTCAGAATGAAGCTCTTCAACATATTAAACCAAGTAATTCTTAGCAAAATAATCCCAAGAATTTCATTACTGTCCCACTGTTGTTACATTTGCAGGACTGTGCACTGGAGGGACTGGGGAACACCAGGCTGAGGATTTCCCCTCCCAAAGGGAAAAGTGTGCCTGGCTCAGCTCTCCTGGCTGCATAAACCTGGGCATGGAGGCACATCCAGCTGGGAAGGGGCACCAGGGGGCTCAGGGCTGGCTCAGTCCTGCTCAACACCTTCATGGATGGGCTGGGAGGGCACTCAGGGTACCCTCAGTCAGCCCCAGGAGGCTCTGCAGAGGGATCTGGGCAGGCTGGACCCATGGAAAGGGTGCTCAGGCCTTGGGAGGAGCTGCCCAGGGAGGGTGGCAGTGCCCATCCCTGCAGGTGTCCCCTGGATGTGGCACTCAGTGCCCTGGGCTGGGGACAAGGTGGGGATTGGGCACAGCCTGGGCTCCATGGCCATGAAGGGATTTTCCCACCTCAGTCATCCTGGGGTTCTGTGCTCTGTCAGGTATTTAATGACTGGCAAATTTCAGCTTTTCTGAATAATACTCAGCCAGGAAAAAATTCACAGAATCACTGGGTTGGAAGAGATCTCCGAGACCATGAGAAATCCATAACGAGAGAATTATCCCATTGTTTTATGGGAACATCTTCCACCTTGAGTCTCAAAAGCCCTCAGCAAACAGAATTAACTCCTAGACATTCCAGGGGTAATTGAAGGAATTAATGAGGCTGATGATCACCACCACGCTCCCAAAAAAGCAGAACCTGCACATCACAGGGAATTCCCACACCTGGGAGGACTCAGGATGGCCACACCACACTGGGGATTATTTCTGACACCAGCTCATTGCTGAACTAACCAAGATCCTGAGCACACTCCTCTGGCCATGGAAATGTGCTGCCAGCAGAGATGCACTGAGAGAAAAATGTTATTTTCTAGTCCTCCACATAGCTAGGAGCTGCACACTAAAGTCATAAAGCTGCTCCTGAAATTTGGAATCAGTCAGGAAGACTGCAGGAAAACAGGCTGACACACAAATGTCATTAAAGATAGGAGAGCTGTATGAGCAGCTAAGTAGGAAAAAAGGAAAAAATTACATTTTTAGCTGCCAGTTACATTCCTTTGAGTCTGTGCTTTGCCTGGATAACAAACCCAGCTCTGCTTTTTGTGCCTCCTGACAAGCACCTCAGAGCTGCACCTGAGCAGCCCAGAGGTTTTCCAGCTTCCATTTCCCAGTGGTTAAGGAAATCTGGAAGTAGATATCCCCTCTGTGGATTTAATAGTCCAAACCTGACCAGGCTCTTGTGAAATAAATCCCTGTCCATGGACACCTGCAGCTATCCCTGCATCCCATGAGGAGTTTCCCAGCAGAACTTCATTTCTTGGTGTTTTCCACGTGCCATTTTCCAGCCTCAGGCCAGAACTGATGTTCTGGTGGTGGAAAAAGGCAGCAAGTTCTATCAGACCCCCCCTACCTGTTCAGGATATCCAGGATTTTCAAGACATGCTGTGACATCATGAAGAACCCTCATTTTCCCAGTTGTTCTCCTTAAAAAAGTCCCTTTCTCCCCAGGCAGTGCTGATCAAACCTGTATTTTGTGGGACTGCCCACGCCATCAGGAAAACCCCATTTCATTTCTCAATGGCTCCATTATGTTAATGACTTCTGGGAACTCGTGGATGCCAAAGCCTTTTGGTTTCCATTTCAAAGCAGCTCTACCTGATTCCTGAATGTGTGATATCACACTAAATTCTTAGCTCTGCTACCTGTCCCTCTGAAGTCCTCAGCAAAGCCAGCACCATCTTCTCCTGGATCTCCCACTCTGGTCCTTCATTCCTCCTCTGCACCATGACAGAGTTAATATTCTTGCAGCCATTCAGCACTGCAAACCCCTGCAGCTCCCAGCCTTTGGAAGTGTTTCCACTCCCAAATGTGGTTTTGGGAGAATTCCCTTCTCCCAGCTGCTGGAGCAGGCCCATCACTAGTGACTGTCCCAATTCTCCCAAAGAGGAGCTGCACAATGCCCAGCCAAGGGGATCCTCAGCTCCTGGACTGCTTCCACCCAGAATCTGAGACACTGCTTCTCCTGAAAGCTCGTGTCTTTGCAAGGCCAGTCCAGGGCTGTGTCCCAGCCTGCTCCTCACAGGCACATTTCCATTTGGAGCAGCAGGAGAACTCTAATCCAGCCTGCTCCTTACAGAGCAGCACCCAACCTTAACAGCTACTGAGTATTGAGTTACTTCTCACCCCCAGGCAGGTTTTAATTCAGCCTGACCTTTGTGTTCCTGCTTTAGTCCTAAATATAATTTCAGAGGTCAGGGCAAGGATGTGAGACTGTCAGAGGGCCCTTTCCCACAGCCAGGAGGAGGTAAGGAGCTGTCCTGCTGTGTGCCACACCTGAAGGACAGGGCCAGCCAGAGGGACTTGATGAACTCCAGAAGTGGCCCATGGGAATCTCCTGAGGTTTAACAGAACCAACTGCTGATCCAAACCAGCCTTTACTCAGGAAATGTTCCCCTAAATCCATCCCCTGCTCACTCAGCTGCTGCCTTGCGTTGTTCTGGGAATGTTGCACAGCTCCTGCATGTGTGGAGTGAGTTCAAAGGCAGGAAAAAGTGGGGAAATGCAGATGCCCTGCACAAAACACCTCCACAAGACACTGAGCCACTGCTGGGCCAACTCCTGCTACAGGAAAAGCAGGAAACACAACACTGAGATTTTATTTTATTTTTTTTTTCTGTAGGAGTTTCATTTTCTGCTTTCCAAGTTTCATTTCAAATGTGCAATCTGAACCCAGCAAAAACAAGCAGCAGATTCAGGCCACAACTTCCCAATTTTGTGACATTTAAAAGTTGCCACTGTGTAAATCTCAGCTCACCCAACTCCACTTCCCCAAGGCACTAAACCCCACAATCTGTACAGCTTCATTACAACTTGATCTTTATGCATGCATTAAATATCTTAATTTTTCTGCGTTTTCTGCTTTTACATTTAATGATAATTTTCTTTTTAAGTTCATAGAGTTAGGAATGGTTTGGGTTGGAAAGGACATTAAAGCTCATCCTGCCATGGCAGGGACACTGCCACTGTCTCAGGTTCCAGTGTCCAGCCTGGCCTTGGGCACTGCCAGGGATCCAGGGGCAGCCCCAGCTGCTCTGGGCACCCTGTGCCAGCCCTGCCCACCCTGCCAGGGAACAATTCCTCATTCCCAATCTCCCATCCAAACCTACTCTCTGGCAGCTCTAACCCTTCCTCAGGGTGCTGCTGGCAGGAAGGCTCCAGATGCCTGGTTAGGAAGGATAATCACTCATGATTACCCTGGGATGATTATCCTGGGATGACTGGAAAGATCAGTGTCCCCCCAAACTGGAACCCACCCCCTGCATCTACAGACACCAAGGTTACAGAACCATGGGGCTGTTGAGTGGGACAAAAGGGACAAATCCCAGCTGAGAGCCCTTCAGAGGAGCTGCAGAATGCAGAGTGAGCAGGGAGCCCAGCCAGCCCCACGGGCCAGGAAAAGCCACCAGCCCTCCTGACCTGAAAAGCCTCTGCCTCAAAGCACAGCAGCTCAAAGGAAGGAGTTGAGGCTTTGCTTCTTGTCAGACATCCCCACAGAGCAGCTGTGCTCCAGCCAGCTCAGAAGCTCTCTACAGCTGAGCATGGAAAATTCCAGCCTAGTGCAGCCCTGGATTGCATTTTCCTGCTGACACAAAGCAAGGCTACGAGTCAATTTATAGTCACAGACTGGAGGCAAGTCCTCATTTAAAAATTCCAGTTTTAAACCACTTCCCACTAAATCACAGGCTGTGAGGATGTTCTCCTCCCCAACAGGAGGTGTGCCAGCAGCTTGTCCCAAGCAGCAGTGGTTACAAGCACTGCCACTGCTCCAAACACACACATGGAGTGGAGCTACCCCTGTGGAAATACAGAATGCAGCTGCAAACCTGCATCCCTGAAGGCAATCCAGCAAGAGCAAACACCTGCTGCTGAAGGAAGCTCTGTGTTACTCACCAGATCTGTAGCTTGATCTTCTTTCCTTGCAATTCAACAGTTTTAATCTTGAAGTCTATCCCTAAAATAAACAAACACATAAATAAGTAATTAGTGTTTGGTTATTTAAAAAAAAAATCAATTTCACATCAACTCTGAATAGCTGAGACAGAACAGCTGCTTTTTTTCTTCTTTCACTGAACTGCCAGGTGAACCAGGGATGTGCAGGGCACAGAAATGGGAAGGGACACCAGCACAGCCATGGCCTCAGGGGTCTGCTCTGGAACACCCCGAGCAGGAAGGAGCCTCAGGGATCATCCACTGCTGGGATCCAAACTGCAGGGAACTCCCAGAACTCTGGGCCTGTGAGCCAAAGCTCAGAATTAAACAAGGATTTGATCTGAGACCTTGGAAAAGGCCTCCAAACTTCAGTGCTGGAAACGAGAATGTGGATTTATAATTTAAAGCAGAGACACAGTGTCTCAGAAAGTTTAGAGTTTAAGATATAAAAACATAAAGTAGCTATCAAACTAAACAAGGAGTTTAGAATGCAGTACTGTAGGTTTGTGTGTCATAACATAATTAGCTAAGAAAGCTTACACTGTAGCTTGAGTTCATAAGATGAAATATTTAAAGATTAGGTCTAAATCAGAAATATCCTTATTAGCAGTGTTTTATTAGTCCATAGCTCCTTAAAAAGTCTTGTAACTAAGGGTCTTGAGACCTTCTGACCCCTGCTGTAACAATGTAAGCCAATCTCACCCTTCCTGTCTATGTTAAAAATAAGAACAATAAATAACACAATCTAGAAACTCAGAAATCCTGTCTCTAACTTAGTCAAAACTCCTTCAAAAATCCCCATCCAGACCAACTCCTGGCCCTGCCAGGACACCCCAACAATCCCCCTGTGCCTGAGAGCATTGTCCAAAGGCTCCTGGAGCTCTGGCAGCCTCACTCCACATTCCTGAGCTTCCACAGGGATGCAGAATGGTTCAACCACCCAGAGCTTTAACCAGCAAGAAAAGGAGAATTATCAGAGCTCAGTCTCCTTGTCCAGACCCATCCCTGCCTCAGCGTTGGGTATGGGACAGCCAAAGCCAGGCCATGGCAGAAGTGTCACCAAGACTCTGAGAGCTCAGCCAAGCACAGACCATTGAGAAAGGTTTTTACTTTCAGTACCAATAAGGAAAGTCTCAACTGCCACAGTTGTTAAATCCCTCCAGGGATGGGCACTCCAAACCTCCCTGGGCAGCCCCTGCCAAGGCCTGAGCACCCTTTCCATGGGCAAATTCCTCCTGGTGCGCACCCTGAGCCTGCCCTGGCCCAGCCTGAGGCCATTTCCCCTTGTCCTGTCCCTGGTCCCTGGCAGCAGAGCCCGACCCCCCCTGGCTGTCCCCTCCTGGCAGGGAGTTGTGCAGAGCCACAAGGTCCCCCCTGAGCCTCCTTTTCTCCAGGCTGAGCCCCTTGGCAGCTCCCTCAGCCTCTGCTGGGGCTCCATTCCCTTCCCAGCTCCCTCAGCCTCTGCTGGGGCTCCATTCCCTTCCCAGCTCCGTTCCCTGCAGGTCTCTCCTGGCAGGAGGAGCCCAGAGCTGTCCCAGGTCCAACCTTCCCTTCCCAAAGCTGCCCACAAGAATTACAGAGCAGAGCTACACCAGAGCAGCAGGAACACTCCAAACCATCCCCTCAGACTGCTCTGCCACTAATTAGATGCCACCATCCTGGCTTTCAAATCCAATCAGAGAACACCACTGATCATTCCTCATGCTTTCCAAAAACCTGCTTATATTTAGACTTTTTAAAAGGCAGCAGCTGCAATCCCAAACTTTCCCTCCCAAATCTACAAGGTCACTTTATACCAAGCAAGATTAAAGAGAATTTATGAAATGCATTATTACATAAGAAGTTTGCATGGCAGCTCTTGAACTCCTTTTAGCCAACACCCAGAACTTCTTGGGCTGAGAGCTGGACACCACCCAGCCCAAAACCTCCCAGTTCTGGGCTGGGCATGGAAGGACATCCCTGGAGGTGTCCCAGGAAGGCCTGGATGTGGCACTGGGCTGGGGACAAGGGGGGCATTGGGCACAGCTGGGACTTGATGATCCTGGAGGGTTTTTTGACCTGAACAATTCTGGGATTCTGGGATTTAAAGGCCAAGGCTGTGCATGAATCCCAGGATGGGCAGCCTGGGACCTCCCACCCATGTCAGGTCAGTGCTCCTTTGTTCTCCAGTCAGTCTCAGCACTGCTGCATCCCTGACATCAGGTTACACTGATGAATCAATGGAGGAACTATCACACAAACGTGACTGGAAATACAAACCTGCTCAATGACTGATGGCCAAGATACAAAACTGCCCCACATCCACCCAGCCCTGCGGTTTTTTCAGCATTTCAGGGAGTTGTTTGCTGCCATGTCGTGTCCCCAGCAACACAACCAAACAAATGAACATCAACCATGTAAATGAAATATTTTATGTGGTGACAGTTACCTCTGGGCTGTGCCCAGATGCAGCAGAGTGTTTGAGAGCCACTTTTTATGTGTTAAGATAAAGTAAATTATTAACCCAGCCAAGGAAATTAACTCTTCTCTGCACTGTGAGGGATTTAGCCAACTCCAGTATTTTGGGGATAAAATAAATCTCTAATCCCATGTTATTCTCAGCTCCCATTCCAATATAATACCAGTTCAGCCTTCAGAGCAGAAAGGTTGTTATAAATAGCAATGTATTTCCCAGGAAACACTTCCACAGGAGTTCCAACACACTGGCAAAAGGAGACTCCTGCGTGGCTGTAGTGCCTGTCCAGCCAGGCTGCTGACAATAACCAGCAGAAACAAAAAAGGCTTCCTAGAAAACAGATATGGGGAGGTTTCCAGGAAAATTCACTTCAGGAAAGAGCTGAAGAGGGCAAGGGTAGAAAACCTGACTGGCTGAAGAACAGACATCTCGTCATCACAGGGGGATAATGAAAGAGCTCATGAATTAAAGATGAGCATGAAATTACTCCCTCATTAAGTGTGGGTAAGATATTTATCACCTTCAGCAGGATGAGCTGGAATTCACAGGAAGACCTGGAAGAAAATGGCCAGGCTTAGGAAAGAAAACCTTATAAACTCCAGATGTTCCAATTAAGACATGGAAATGTTTGCTGCCCTTCAGCACAGCTCACAACAGGCACATCCTCACGGGTCCCAGCTCCCTTCTGCACCTCCTTCCCATTCCCAGAGCTCCACCTGTTGCTGGGGGTGTTGGTGGGTGAGAGCTGGACATGAGAGCCCCAAACCTCCCTGAAACCCCAGAGTGGGCAGCAGGGCAGGGGGATTCTGTCCCTGTGCCCAGGTGAGAGCCCACCTGCAGAGCTGCCCCAGCCCTGGGCATTCCAGCAGCACAAGGACCTGGAGCTGCTGCACAGAGCCCAGAGGAGGCCCCACAGCTGCTGCAGGGCTGGAGCCAGGCTGGCAGAGCTGGGGGGGCTCACCTGGAGAGGAGAAGGATCCAGGCAGAGCTCAGAGCCCCTGGCAGGGCCTGGAGGGGCTCCAGGAGAGCTGCAGAGGGACTGGGGACAAGGCTGGAGGGACAGGACACAGGGAATGGCTCCCAGTGCCAGAGGGCAGGGCTGGGTGGGAGATTGGCAATGAGGAATTGTTCCCTGTGAGGGTGGGCAGGGCTGGCACAGGGTGCCCAGAGCAGCTGTGGCTGCCCCTGGATCCCTGGCAGTGCCCCAGGCCAGGCTGGACACTGGGACACCTTGGGACAGTGGCAGTGTCCCTGCCATGGCAGGGGTGGCACTGGGGGGGCTCTGAGGTTCCTTTCCAGCCCAAACCAGTTTGGGACTCAATGATTCCATGGGCCCAGGTGTGACAAACCTGAACTCAGCTTTAGAAAGGACAGCAGCACTGACAGAGTTTCTGGTTCCTGGCCTGGGGCACCAAGGCTTTAGGGAGCACCAGCAGTCGATGCCAACACTGCCCTCACACAAACAGAATCTGCCCTGCCAGCCATGGCAACCATGGCCCAGGAGCAGCTCCAGGGGCTGCCAGCTCACCCTGGGCACTGAAGTCAGGCCCCTCCATCCTACAGCCACAGGGAATGCTGCCCACAACCCCACCTGGAGCTGTGCAGGCTCAAACCTTGACTGTCCTGGGGGATACACAACTACTGGCTCAAGGGATTTGTGCTTCCAGCTCTCAGATATAAGATGTTAATGAAGAGCCAGGAGCTGCATCAGCAGAACAGCTTTAAGTCCATAATCATTTCCATATCACTTTACACCTTCCCAAGCCCCTGCCAAGATCCCCCCTGCGCCACTAAATCACAAAGTGACTGTTCTGGACAAGTGACAGACCCACGGGCAGCGGCTGCAGAGGGAGGGAGAAAACGTTATTTTCCAGTCCAGTGCAGAGGTACAAACGATGAGCTGGCCCTTTTCACACAGCCCGAATCTTGTTTGCATTCCTTCCAAACAAAGCCCCCATTGAGCACGGGGAGGACGCTGGGCGGGAGGAAGCGGAATGTAGGGCAGGAGGAGGGCACGGCTGGGAGCTGGAGCTTGACAGGCATCCCGCAGGGCCATCCCATCCTGCAGGGCCATCCCACCCTGCAGGGCCATCCCACCCTGCAGGGACATCCCACCCTGCAGGGCCATCCCATCCTGCAGGGACATCCCACCCCATCCCGCAGGGCCATCCCACCCTGCAGGGCCATCCCACCCTGCAGGGACATCCCACCCTGCAGGGCCATCCCATCCTGCAGGGACATCCCACCCTGCAGGGACATCCCACCCTGCAGGGACATCCCATTCTATCCTATAGGGACATCCCACCCTGCAGAGACATGCCATTCCATCCCACAGGGACATCCCACCCTGCAGGGACATCCCATCCTGCAGGGACATCCCATCCCATCCCGCAGGGCCATCCCACCCTGCAGGGCCATCCCACCCTGCAGGGACATCCCATCCTGCAGGGACATCCCACCCTGCAGGGACATCCCATTCTATCCTATAGGGACATCCCACCCTGCAGAGACATGCCATTCCATCCCACAGGGACATCCCACCCTGCAGGGACATCCCATCCTGCAGG